ATCTCATTGAATTATCATTGAAATGATAATGTCATCTGGGAGAGAGAGAGAGAGATATTGAGCTTCTGAAAATGATTTAGGCGGTGCTGCTAACAGTTTACGAAGCTAAGCGCTCAAGTGCTGTCATGTCTATAATCCCACTGATGTACATAATATTGACCCATTAGTATTACTGTCGACTTCGACCTAACTGAAATTATAAGAGTAAATCCGGATTAGTCAAAATCTGAAAGAATATTTCAACGATGCTCACAGTTGGAAGAAAAGACTGATGATAACCTTATAGCAGAATTCTTAAAGTACAGTTTCTACGATATTTAGCATGAGATTCCAAAATCAACGGTAAGGCATTGTGTTCTAAAGAAACACTGGTATCAACCATATTTTCCCACAAATCTATAATGTTTTTATGCACAGAAATTAGTCAGACTGCATCAGAATAGTTTTGCCATGGATTTAGATTATCATTAACTGAAGGACAAACGGTGACTGATTTACTTAACCATATTCCTAAAGATACAATAATTGTGCAGAGGGAAATTGAGTATTGTTATGCTACGAATACCAAACCGAGTACGTTTTTGAATTTCCATCACAGATACGACTTCCACCTGTAGAACTTTAAGCTCCCATCTTACACCCGATGAATAACTACCGAGTGTGCATCATATTAACCTGCTTTACAAATATCATCGGAGAGGAGATCCTATGTAAGACAACAACATTCCGAAACATCACCACGTGATTGGTAATTTGATTAAATTTTAAAACTATATATTAGTGTAGAGCCCAAGACGAAGACCTAATTGAAAAGGAATATATTTCTTCGCTCAGTCAGTCTTTTTCTAAATGTCTAAAGGGGAATATTCAATGTATTGAAATCTTCTGAGCACCGAATTGCCTTGAAGACTGTCAATGAGTATCTGAAGTACAGCGCAAGGCACTGTGAAGTGAAGGTTAATATAAACCTCATCGTTGAATGTATTTCAACCAATTGTTATCCTAAGGAATATTGGAAATCTTTACGACACTCCAGGGTTAGACCCAGTGCAAGAACACACACTGAAACGTTATACTCTGAATCAGATTGACTCTCTAAGATCTTATTCTACTGAAATGTTGAAAAATGTTACAGAGAGATTTCATGCTGTAGAAGAGCTTCAGGAAAATTTAGAGCAGGAATTTTTGAGTTATGTGATGAATGTGGTCAGTGCACGGAAAGAAAAGAAGTACATTAAGTTGATCAAAACTCTTGAAAACCGTACACCAGAGATAAGATTCCCGACTAATCCAGGTTAGCTTGTGCATAATTTTTCTAGTATCGGTCTTCATGATATGCAGTTAGAAGTTTTGTCACTTGGACCAAACTTTTGTGATAGTCGTAATAGAATTAGTAAGATGGAAACGAAAATACATTTTGAGAACATGTATACACAGACGGAAGGTTTGATACCATCATCTAGTGAAGACATTGACAGACTTAAGATTACACTAGTTGACTGTTGCCTGAAGTACTCGAGTAGTAGGGGCCGTATGAAGAGTATTTAACAAAAAAACATAGGGAAGTCTTGAAAAAGAATAAAACTAATGCAAATATCGTGTTTGCCAAGCCAGATAGAAGATCAGGAATAGTTTTAATGGACAAAAAGGAGTACACAGACAAAATGAATTCTTTACTTAGTGATGAAAGTAAATTTCAGAAATTAGCCGGTTATGGTGATACAACAGGGAAAACCGAGAAACATCTAACCGAGTCACTGAAAAGGATAAATCAACAAGGTTTAATTTCAGAAAGCATCTTCGAAATGCTGAAACCTACTGGAACCATTACACCTAAACCTTACGGTCTACCGAAACTGCATAAAAACGGTCTGCCTCTACGACCAGTTCTTGACATGACTAACTCTCCTTATCATACAACAGCAAAATAGTTAGTACAACTTTTGAAGCCTCTCCACAAAGAAGTTGTGAAGTACAATCTCAAAGATACCCTTGAATTTGTCAGAAAGATTGAGGATCTGGAAGTAAACAATAAGTTAATGATTTTGTGTGCTGTTTCATCTCTTTTTACCAACGTTCCTTTGATGGAGACAGTAGACTTTATTTGCAACGAACTCACGAAGCTCGGCGTGGAAATATATATTGAAAGAACTCTTTCTGAGGTGTACGATGAATGTACAATTTCTTTTCAACAATGAACTCTACCGGCAATCTGATGGTGTTGCTAAGGCGTCACTCCTTGGCCCGCTCTTAGCAGATTTTTTCTGGCAAAACTTGAGAATGGTCCACTGAACGATACTATTAGTCGTTTAGAGTTATATTGTCGTTGCATGGATGATACCTTTATAGTTCTCAAAAGTGAGACTGATAAGAATGCTGTTCTGAATAAGTTCAATAGTGTTCACCAGGCAATCGATTTCACAATGGAAGAGGAGAAAAAAGACAGTATCCCATCTCTTGATGTTCCTTTGGTAAGAAGGTCAGATGGGACCCTGAAGCGAAGTGTTTATAGAAAGCCAACATCAACAGGTCAATTCACGCACTTCTTTAGTGCTGTACCCCTCCAATACAAAAGGAACCTAGTGAAATGCTTAGCATACCGTGCCTCAGCTATTTGCTCAGAGGATGCTATAAATGAAGAGTGCGCCAACATCCGTGATCTGCTTAGTAGGAATGGCTACCCAGACAAGTTTGTAACTAAGCACATGAATATTACGAGGGTTAAGACAACAATGCCAACAGTTCCTAAGAAGCAGATCTTCTTGAAGCTGGAGTTCAAGAGTGATATTGCCAGTGAGACCACTACACAACGCATAGAAAGAGACTTGTATAAAGCATTCCCAGCCGCTAAATTATATCCCGCCTTCTACAACCGCCCCATTCTAGGTGCAAGAAATAAAGACAAACTGCCTGACTTTGCCAATTCTATGTGCATTTATCAATTCAACTGCTCCTGTGGAGCTAGTTACATTGGGCGTATAATGAAGCAGTTCCATCGTCAAATTTCTGAGCACCATCCATCATGGTTCAACAAGGGACAAATTAGAACTATGGAGAGCTCCATGTTTGCACACTTAGTTGACACAGGACATCAAGTGGTTACTGGGAAAGCCTTCAAAATCATCTATCAGATGCCAATTAATTCACCTCATGGATTACGCACTCGGTTACTTCATATAGCAGAGGCGATTGTAATCCACCTTTACAAACCTAGCTTTTGTATCTAAAATAAGTTTGTTCTACCACTTACATTACCGTGGCCGTCAACCTGATGATACTTCTAAGTTTACTTTGTACACCTCTTCCCTTTCTTGTTTCTATCAATATTCATTTAGTCTCCTATTACTAAGTAATCGCTTATTGTGGATGACTGAACAGTTATTAAAGTCACTCCATTCACCAAAGATAAGCTTGTTTCATATTACCAATTTCAGTAACCCTATTGATTATTTACATCATTATTTCTGTAACATCACCACGTGATTGATAATTTGATTGAATTGTAAAACTATATATTAGTGTAGAGCCCAAGATGAAGACCTAATTGAAAAGGAATACATTTCTTCTTCAATTAGTCTTTTTCTAAGCTAACTGTTGAGTACATATGTGAAAATATTTATGGTCACTTAATCCCTAAAACGTTTCTGAATACATTAAAACCGTGGTACGAAATCTTTCAAATTATTTACAAATCGTTATTTCATCGATAATATTCGAAGAGAAGTTGAAGCCCACAAGCTTATACGGCGGTATTGGGTTCGAATTTCCCTCCACTTACATCAATCTAGATAACCAAATAGTGTCATATTCCCCACACCATGAATGTGGCTTATAGCTTAGACGAGTTAAAAAATTAAAAGGTACATTTAATTGAGTAATTCTGCACCAACAACCGGTGATATAAACATGATATCTGAAGGAGGAAGTTATTCCTGACCATAACATATGATTTCCGTATTTCTAAAGCGTCACTATTTGCGGGCAAAAATAAACTATTTCAAAGTTTGCGTAAAAGGATACTGCGAAAACCATTCACAATGTTTCATAACTTTAGTCATAATGATCTTAGGACTAGACACTTTTTGTAACAATGATTTTCAGAGACCAGTAAAATGTGCATCACTCTGCTTGGAACCCATCAACTTCAAACACCTCCTTCTTCAAAGTTATTCATGTTATGTGGTCTCAGTCAAATCAGTATATAACTGTTTTTGGTGTTGGATTCTAGAAAGCCTCTTACCTAGGTATTGTGCTCGCTGATATCCGTAAGCCATGGGTCTTTCCAACCAAGGAATAACTGATATCTCTTTGGTAACTCGAAATTTGTTTAGTATGGCACCACCGCATAAGATGTTTTTTGATCTAGAGAAAATGTGGTCTCGTCGGTTTGCCAGACGTGTGTAATGCGTCATGCACTTCATCAGATTATTTGCCTCTCTCAAAATTTCACTTCAAGCATGGGATCTGCTTGCTAACCTAGTTGTGATACTTGTCATGTAATTTTAAAAAACCATTAGTACATGTTGTGAGGTGGATTCTCCGAAGTTTTAATGCTAAGTCGTGTTCTGTGGGAAGTGATGATAAATAGTCACTGATGACACGGGATGATGAATGTATTATATCGTGCAATAACAGAAGTAGAAAAATGTGGACTGTTCGATTCCGACCTAGTGGGTGAATGTTAAGGTGTTCGTCATGAGATCTGATGGTTCTAGACTCGGTCTGTCACGAAATCATGAGTGAGAGCTAATATGGAGTCCCAAACTGTGATACAATGGCTATCCAGTGTCCTGTGCTCTCAAGGGTTTGCCCAGTAATGTCAGTCTGTAGTGAAATCTACCTTGAAAGGAATAAATTCCCACAAACCATCAGTTGGATTTTGACTTATTTCAGACTGGACTTGTTTCTGGAACACTTTGGACTTCCTCCATCAAGGTGTTCACTTGAAAATATGTTGCAGAAACAAGTGATATTGGTGACAGTAAGAAACAGTTAACGTTAAACGACTTTGATCTTGTGATTCTCTATCCTTATTTGCTTATAATACTTGCCAGATGTAAACAATAATAGCGTTACATACAATTCAAATCTACGAAGATGCCTAAAGCATAACAAACTAGTTATTGACAAATATGAAGTGATCACTGCAAAGATTTACTCCCCAGAAGTTGTTAAGGAGAGACAAAACTTTTGGAGAAACTGGTAGACTATTTAACAATAAAGCGCAATTTATGAAGAAATACAATTCTTAATATAACACCTAACATGATAAGTGAACAAGTACTAACACTGAACAGTCGGTTATTTGTTGCTTCTTTGACAAACCAGATAAGATAATCATGATCTATTATTTACCGAAAAATCAAAATAGGAATCACACTTGCTCAATATGCCACATTATATGATAAAGTCAATTTGGAATGTTGAATACAAACATTGAAATTTTATGTGTGTTTATCGTGTTCAACCAAAATTTGAAATATTATTTCTTTCATATGGGAAAAGTAGGCAATTGAACTAAGGAGTTTAAAAACAATTTAAACAAGATTATTGAATCCAATTTTTTCTTTTGTTAGCGGATCATCTTCCTTCTCAGGTGGATGTGACTGGTTGTAATGATCAATGAAATTATGATAAAGCTCGGTGACAATCTCGGCTGTGATTACTTCACCTGCATTGATTGCCAACATACGAATTATGAATACGCCATCTGGGCGTAGATAACTGTCGATAAATTCATCTAAATCTCCTCGTTTTAGTTCACCACCCTTCGGAGAGGTAACCCCCTTCAAGCGAAGATAGCGTTTAATGAAATCTTTACGCTTCGGAGCTAGTATCAGTCGTATGAGCCATAATATGAGGCTTAAAATGCATGTAATCAGTAGGAATACAATCCAAAACCAGAAGAAGATGTAGATTTTCTCATTCAACATATTTATGGGTAAAGCACACTGAGCAGTGTAGGAGTTTTTCACACCGACTAAACGGATTCCTGGAACACGACAATATGCTACACGTGGGAACAAAAGTGTTTCCGGCCAGTCACGTCCAGCACGTATGTGATTGACAACAGTTAGACCGAATCCGTAACCTTCGACATCTTCATTTTCAGCATAAGATATAGTGCTTACTGGAATAAAAATCAATGCAAGGATGAAAAGCAAAGTAGTAACATATTTATCGAGTTAACCATGCATGTGTGGTTTTATCCTGAAAGATTTTGCTGACATTTTATACTGATTATAAGTAGTATAAATATTTGCTATGAATGTTTCAAATGCGAAGTTACTTTCTCTGAGAAACTTTTCACGTATGTCGTGCAATGTGAAACAGATTGAAGCAGAAATTCCCAGTGAATGTACACAATCATTAATTAGTGGATGATACCAAGTGATGAGCTTTTACTGGTAGATTTTGAGGTGGTTTGTACAATGGAATGGTTATCCAACAGCGGCTAAAATAAATTGGACAAACTCTCCAAATCATGTGTGTGTACGTATCTGATAACCCTATGGCTCTTCAAAGCCCGCTAAGAGGTGCATAGTTAGGATTTTGAAACTCAGAAACAAGTAGGCATGAAAACCGATGCCTCAACTTTCTGCCAACTTCATCCTAACATATAAAGCAGGCTTTCCGAATATCTTGGTTGTATTGTGTTCTCTCTCGGGATTAAACAACCCAACTCATAATGATACCTGCAAAACGAAAAATTGGAATGTTGTCATAGTTGTTGTTTCAAGTATATTGGTTACTCGATTCTCATGTAGTGATTTATGCTAAGGTTGATATCTGAATCCTCCGCCAGACACTGATTTTACGGATAACTGCATGACAAATATTCAGAATGTTTGTTTGTGATGTATATTCTATGATATGGGTTTTCATCATTCATTTAAATTCGTGAACTGAACAGATTACTTACAGTAATGAATCTGTCCACTGACACTGAGTTATACTATACATTAAAATTAGTTAACACTGAATTTTAGTCTTCAGAAACCTTGTGAGGAGAAACAAATGACCAGTACTCCCTGATGTTAAGTGGTTATTCGCTTGCTGTCAATTCGCTCTGCCTTTTCTTGCTAAATGTCCAACAACATCTAACTTTTGTCTGTTCATTGAGCAGTAGCACTACTTATTGTCCGGTGAAATAAATAACGAGCCACTCCAAACATCAGATTGCAAAATGATAAGTTACCATAAAGGCTAATTGATCAATCTCTGCTTGGATAAAATTGTTTCGTTTCCCACCACTACATAAATCCTCGAACATTTTCAGATTGCTTAGCTCACAAAGAAGTTAGTTGGTATTTCTGACAACTACTGAACAGTGTTCCAGCGGCTAGTAGTCAGCACTGGTTATCTGAACTGATTTTGTGTTACATAAAACGTCTATTCTCAATGTTTCATCTTCCCTTCAACTCTTCCTTTATGAGTGCCAGAGGATGTGGTGGACTGAAAATGTCACTAATAAAACGATAGGAATATTCTAGTCTTTTTGAGTTCTGTTCAACACTTGTTACTAAAACATACTCCTATCATCAACTCTTCCTTGACGAGTGAGAACATGATGGTTGAACTATGTAGAAAATGCTACAAAGTTCTGCTGTTAGAAATTAGTTTCTCTCAGAGTCCGTTTCGCGTGGCTGACATCTTGTTTGACGTTAATTGTTGTACTGTTTAGTGTCCTGCAAGCCAAATACAGAGTTGAAGTATCACAATAACATGTAATAAATTAACCGAGATCTCAGTATTCTTTCGAAAAGTCACATAGAACTGGAATCAGACAAAAACTGAACTGAATCAGTCAGTGTTTTCAGAATGAATACTTTGACTTTAAATATATTTCTGATGATACTGTATAGTTCAACAACTTCGGACTCGCATCCATCTAGATGTTTAGGTATGGAATGAGTTTAGTTGAATTGGCTTTGTAAGATACTCATTTAATTTTCCTTGAGATCCAATGACTTTATCTCGAAATACTATATGGCAGCAACTGCTATCTATCGTGCAATTCATAACGCTGCTGCTGGAAGACCGAAAAGTGATAGTATTCCATTCATGTAAACCATATACCAAAATTTGAATACTACTAGGCCCTCAGCTTTACAATCTGAATAGTTTAGGGGATTTTTATTGCTCCCGGTGACCTCTGGAGGTCGCTAGGTGGAATCCTGACACGACGTAGGTTTTTATTTCATCTTCAATCATCAACCAGAATTAAAAGTAGACTGTTCACTGAGTAAAGTTATCGAGTCAGTGAGAAAATTAGTACTTATTAATCTTGTATCATGCATCAAGTTTATCTGAAACAAAGTAAGAATAAGAGTTTTGGTTGTATTGTGTTCTCTATGCTGGGTGAATTAACAGCGAAGCTTTCATTGCCTTTCTAGACAACATAATCAGCACAAACTTCAAATATGGAGTATCTCCCCATAAGCGATTCAGCAGCTTGTCTTGATGAACTGGTTTGTGATCGATTGTTTCCTTTGGTTGTTGCGTCACTGACTGTGCAAATTTTCCTGTTGGTAGTTTCTCTGCCGGGCGGGCATCTGACCTTACTCTTGTTTACTACTTTTCTCATTGGTTGATAGAAAGGGTCTATTTCTATGCGCTTACTGATCGCTGACTGACCTGAATGCCAAGCCTCTAGGGATTCTCTGATATTCTTTATTTCCTCTCTCCAAGAGTTCTGCACTGTCAAAATTGAATTCATGTTCATGGTTGTTATCCATGTGCATTGAAATGAGTGATGAAATGTCGGGGCGTTTAGCAGCCAATTGGTGTTCATGTAGACGAAGGTGAAGAGGGCGAATAAAGTCTGCACGCAACTAATTTTGTGCGTTGTTGGGTTGTTGCTCCTGTAGTCGAGTATTTGGTCAGTGTGTGTTGGCTTACTGTACACTTGGGTTCCCAGCTTTCCAGCATTTGTCCTACAGACTAAAACATCCAGGAATGGTAATTGGCTGTTTAACTCTATCTCCATTGTGAATTTGATGTCATTGAAAACGTTGTTGATCAAACCACGAGTGTTTTCTATAGTCTATTTTTTTAGAAATGACAAAAGTGTCGTCCACATAGCGAATCCAAATTTTCGGTTTGATCACAGGTAGAATGACGGCTTCCAGTCTCTGCATCACTGCTTCTGCAATTAGTCTGGATTTCGGTGATCCCATTGAACTTCCTTCCATCCGTTTGTATATCTTGTCGTTGAATCGGAAGTATGCTGTCAGACAAAGTTCGATGAGTTCCATCAGACTTGAAGATTTAAGTTTTATGCTTTCTGAAAGGCTTGTCTTCAGTGGACAAGAGGGATGTAATTCTTTTGGTCAATTTGGGTTCAATGGATGTGTATAGTGCTGTGACATTGAAGCACACCATTTATTCGTCGTTTTCTATATTAATGCTTTTGATCTTTTCTAAGAATTTTATTAGTGATTTGATCGGATGTCCAGATGATTCAACCAGGTATTTCAGTTTTTCCAAAAGTTCTCTTGATATGTTATATGTTGGAGTTCCCGGAAGTGAGACTATAGGTCGTAGAGGGATGTCTCGTTTAAGTAGTTTTGGTCTTCCGTAGAACCGAGAAAGGATGGGTCCACTTGATTTCATCCGCCATTTGTCTTGCTTTGTTATTTCTTCTGCTTTGAAGAGTTTGCTCAAGGTTTTATCAATATGGTTGTCCAACTTTTGGACTCGATTGGTTTCAAGTGATTGACATACATATTCGTCGTTGAGTACATCTTCTGCCTTCTTGATGCAGTCTTCTTTGTCCATGACTACCGTAGTGCATCCTTTGTCTGCTGGAAGTATAACGACATCTCTATTTTTCAGTCTTTTCAATGTTTTCTGTTCTTCAATGTTCGTTTGAGCGTGATGTCTCTTCTGCCTGGTTAGTGGTACGATTGTTTGCCGTATTTCTTGTTGAGTGACCTCATTTAATCCTGACGTTTTAAGTGAGGATTCTAATGCCGCAAAGAATTCTGGTTTCGGGGCATCTCTTGTGTTGTAATTCAATCCTTTTTGAAGGAGAAGTTCTTCCATTTTCGTTAGTGGTTGTTCTAATAAGTTGGCAACTCAGTCATTTGTTTCCTCGGTTGTGGGTACTTCTGAGATTTTGAGCAGATTTATTATGAGGGCTTTTTTCGTTGTTTTCTGTATCGTCTGCTTGATCTTTAGATTTCTGTTGTCAAAGTTGCCATGTGTTGTGTCGTAAGTATGCTTTCTAGTTTTCTCTTTTGATTGCTAATCACGAATTGATATTTCTGGATCCGATTATGTGCATCTGTGATCATCGATTGTACCTCTCGTCTTCCACTTTATTCAGCTATTTTCCATTCGCCTGGACAATCGACAGGTGGCCTATATCTGGCAGAACATGTTAACGTAGGCACTCTTGTGGAAAGAATAGTTATTCTTTCGTGGAAGCTTGCCTCTTGGAGAAGTTCTCTAATTTTCGAACAACGTGAATAAGAGTTAGTTGACTCAAAACTAATAAATAAAGTCAATGCGTAGAAATAGCTATGCAACCTTAGAAGTTTCACAATACTAAAAACTGAGTTCATCATCATGACATATGGACATTTCAACCTCTAGACGAAAACACACCATTCATAAACCAATTACACCTTTAAAAAATGTTTCTTTACACTTCACTCATCTTATTTTTCAATAAACAGTTTGTTATTTATGTCTGAAAACCAAATGACTTAACAGAACAACCAGGACTATCCACTTGAGCTACAAATATTCTACACTATTTCTAGTCAAATAGTCTTCTTTATCTCGCTCATCTTAACTTGTTACACTTGCCTATTGCCTACTTGCTCTACAGCTTATTCCTTTACACTTTAAATGGGCATGTTCCTAATGGGTCATCTATTTCACTAATGTGCCTTAAATTTAAATCCCTGATGCACAAACCTGTTATCATCGTGTTCTAAGTGGATTAGTTGGTATGATGAGTAGCACGTTTGTGCGATTACTTCGCGAGATAAGCTCTTGATCATGCAGAAATTTAATCAGAAATAGCTATTTTTCCGAACCCTTTATCCTGTGATCATTTCATAAGCTTTTTACTCTCATGAAATTTAACAGTCAATGACTGCTTTTATTTCTCCAAGAAAATGTAAAACCAACTTGTAGAAAATAATTGAATTTGAGGCGATTCGAATAGTTGCTGAACTCATATCTACAACCACCAGGTTTATCAATGAAGTAAAATGTATAATGAATGGTCACTGGAGAGGAACCGATTTCATGTTGTCTTGTCCTAAGTGCTAAATGAATTTCCTCAGTCGTTTATGTCTGTCAGGCGATACCTCTTTCACCGAGATCAGTCTTGCCGATGGCTGCCAATGAGCACGAAGCCCATGTCAAGTAGAACCTCTTGCCGGTTGCCTCCAGTCAACTAACATCAATTGAAGTAGAATATCAAAACGTTGAAGTAGATTTTGGTTCAATCCTAGATGTCCACAAAGTATTAATTGTTGTAATTCAAAGTGAATGCAAACCTCAAGTTAAATGCGCAAGTCTAAAAACAAGTGGACCAAACACTAATGCGTTCAATAATTCTGAATTCTGTAAATCAGAATACTTTTTCATATCTTACTTAATCTTACAATTGTTCACTCAAATCAGCCACATGTTTAGAATCTTTGCAAGAATTACTTGAACAAGTACAAGTTGTAAGAACGGTTTAATGCAGTACATTGAAGCATTAAATTCACATATGAAGTAAAAACTCTTTCAAGTTGAGTAGACTTTTAGAGTAAGTGAAAACCCTAAAAAACTACCCTTATCCCTAGCAAAAGCGATGGTATCATAGACAGATTTATAAAGGTTATGAATGGTATTCTAGTTGCTTATGAATTCAGTTAGCGGTTGACAAATAAAAATACTGCTCCAAAAGGATATAAAATGTGTGTTTCAGTGACACATAATTAGTTAAAGTGGATGTATCCAGTGGGATCCCATTCCGGTAATTCAAAAAAGTAATTTAACTGATCTTATATATTTATGCAACCCACCTGCTTTAGGATCAAATGATTTACCCAGTTGAAGGCTACGTTTGCCCACACTACCATTCGAATAAAATCCCAGGAATCGTTGGATCAAGAATATTTGTAATGCTGCATTAATGATTGTTATAATCTTTACACACAAATAAGAGAATATCAAACGAGTACCAAGTCGTTTGCTTGCAACAAATATTCCACCAATACGCACAGCCTGTTTGGCTAACTTAGCACGTTTACCCTTGAATAGAAAGATGTGAATTCGGACATTACGAAGGTGTCAGTATTTTGATAAGTAGGATAAAACAACTAAACATAGAATGATAGTCAAAGTGCGAAAACTCACTAATTAGTAATCAGTAACAAGATTACTGAAGACTTTTTCTCAGAATGGACTGTCACTAACATTTCCAAAACCTGACCGATAGATATTTCAGCATCAGGTCTGATCATATTACAATAAAGAGCTCATAAGAAAACAATACATTCAGTAAAGTTTCATGTCTAAGTTTTCAAACTGGATTCATTTTCCTTTGTTAGTCTGTGAAGAAAATCAAGTAGAAGGATGGAGATCAACAATTTTCGCTACAAAAAAGATCTGACCAGCTGTCACACATATTTACTCATTTCAAATTCCAGTTATAATTACAGGTGAAAAGAGTAGCATGACTGCACAACAATGACCTCTTACCTGGGATGGTTGAACATCAGTTTTATCAACACCGCTTTGGATCAATTTATTGTATAGAAATCAGCAAGAGATAGGTAGAAGTACTTGAATTAACCGTATGCAAATGATATAAAGAAAGGGGAAACAAAGTTGGTGAAAACAAGTGGAGTTAACTCACCAAATGTTGCGGAATGTAGATATATTCACTAACTATGGGGAGATGAATACTTACTGAATCTCATTTGTTATGACTGTAATCACTGCATTCAAACACTTCGGAGGTGGCTGTTTTTGTCCTGATTATAACACCTTCAGGTTTACCCATCCTATTTTAGATTTCACAGTATGGCTCAGCATTATCTAACGCCTTTGTAAACTTTGTTGGACAAAAACTGATCACTTTTATCCACTACCCCTTTTCTACCGTTAACCAATTGTTCCACAATATAGAAGAGAAGCATAAATGTCAGTGGATGGTAAAAGAACTCATAACCCCTCAGATTTTAGTAAACTTCAAATGTTCTACTGGTATCATAAGTGATACTGGTTGCAGAAAGTCAAACAAACACTATATACCAGTATGCAGATCTCGTTAGCTGTCAATTACTCAGCATTCTTTACACTCCCCACACTAGTATTTTGATCAAATTACATAACTACTTTAGTGCTTGTTATGCAGACAAGATAGGAAACAACAGTTTACATACCCTAAGTTTCAAAAACTCTTCGTTGTCTGAGTATTTGAAACTAATATGGTCACTTTTTCTTTCATACCTTATTTAAACTGGAATGTTTACGTATGCTGTTCACTTCCTAAAAATATTAGATATACCAAATATTACCTTTAGATGTATGAGGAGTTGATTAATAAAGAAATAGTGAACATTCCTAGATAAAATTTATCGAACTTACAATGCCATATAATTGTTAAACATCACCTCATACTTGATCATGAGTAACCGATGATGTAACATACTGCTAGGAACCTATTTTGGTAACACCCGCTGGTACAAAACGTTGCGGTCGACAGTGTTAAGAATTCCACGTATTGTTAAAGGGAAGTAAAGATAATTAGAAGGTGGTTCATTTTTCCTTCTTCTAGGATATGATGAACAAAACATGCCCATATTTGAAACGTGTGTTGCTTTTGTTGGAGTATTTTCTTCCAGCTTTCATCTAGCTGTCTAATGATTTTAAACAATAACTGATAAAAATAGTAAGGCTAAAATTTCATGTCCTAACTAGTTCTCAAGTCAGTCAATTGAAATAGTAATCTATAGTCATTGTATTTGACGATTTCTGTAAGTGGTCACTCGGGCACATTGCTTAACTACACTTCAGGTGCGCAAATCACGTATCAACTTCTGGAGGAATTGAAGAACAAATGTCAGTGTTTCCAATTTCAAGCTGCGTAGTAGGCAGATATTATCTAGATTATCTCTTCTACAAAGTGTTACTTACCTCTTTCCAGTTTTCTACTGCTTCAGATAAACTGCTGGGTCATCATTCAAGTAGGGTTTTCATTAACCGCTGCCTTCACTACTTTAAGCCTTCTCAATTAACTCAAACAGTTTCACATAACAATCTTCTACAAATCTTTAGCTTTTGCAGTCCACCACTGCTCATTGTCATTGTGCAGGCTATTTATCATCTGGAATTTAAGTTAACTCGATTGCAGTTTGAATTCATAGATATTCAGTGCTATTATACATATATACCTTTTTGCTAAGATCAAATTTCTTTTCAACTAATCAGTCAGATTAGATAAGTATTGCGGTGTATTACGAAAGGACTATAGATACAGATATACGTATGAATGTGTATATTACAAACTAATCAGTAAATACTCTATAGGAATAGAATGCAGAAGCTTTTAAATGGCTTTATTTACCGTCTTCTATACATGTGGTTGAAAACACATCATAAATTTAAACAATAAAACTTTAGCACAAAGCAGCTTACACAATTTAAAATAAAGACTTAAAATTCAACTGATATCAGTCCATGATGAAATCTACTTGGGAATTGAATCGGTTATCGTATAGATCAACCTAAAGCCATTCAATAAAGATGATTTTATAGATCCACCGAATACACACATGTTAACGTATAAGAGGATAGAGGGAAATCATCTTGTTTAGCTGGTGCAGACTATTGATGGGATACAGTAGACCAAATTTTCCTACTTACTGATAAATGGTAGCAAACCTTATACGCCAGATAAAGCAGATTCATACACCATCAGTTGATTTACATCGGAAATTTAAATGAATAATGGTTAAATTACGTCAGATGGGGAAACATCAGGTTGAAATGGGTAGATAATTAAGGCCGAAATGGAAACGTAGAAGGTGGGAGAATCCAAACCGGTGGCCTTCGGGTTACTGGCCTGATGTTCTGCCACATGAGCTGCCAGGCATAAGTACTGACCAGACTTCTTAGTTCAGTTGGCAGAGCACCAAGCCAGTAATCCGTAGACTTCTGGTTCAGATCCTACTGGGATCTGGCTTCCCACTCCACTTTCAACCATCCACCAAGCATTATCAACAACACTAGTTTACCAAACAGCAGCTACCTCAGGTTTGAAAAAATAAGCTGGTCTCCGAAGATTCCAGTACTCCTTAACTGCCTGTTTTCTGTAAATATATCTTCTTCGTCAATATTCTTTTTCGTTGTACGATGATTTCCACTTATTAACTGTTTGCAGTCCGAATTGTTTACCCATATGTGACAGCGGTTTTCTCTACCCTCATGAAACCTGATCTTTCTGTGAGATTCTTTACTGTTGAAAAATGTACTTTATCACTGGCTTCCAATTTTTGTAATAGTACTTTACACTAATGACAGCCATTTTTCAGATCACATAGAGTGTGAGTTAATAACTGCATCTCTCTTGTTTACTGTAACATTTGGCAAATTACTACAGACGTGCTGCACATTACTTGAAGGTTTTACATTTATTTCCAAAAGAAAAGCAGTTATCTGTCACTGCTTCAAAGTTCACCCAAGGCAGAAACATTATTAGTCTGGTTAGATTTCTACAACTACTCTTTCGAATTTAACTTATCATGACTCTTATTAGTTAATGTTTATCGTCAGTGCATAATTTAGTCTACAACCTGAGTCAGTTTCATAGTTTTTATTAATGGGAAGGTAAACAGCAGCTGAACAGATGAATGACAGTGATTTAGGTGGTTAAGATATGTAGTTTTCCTTTGAGGAATCCTCTTACATTGCAAAGTTATACAGATATCAGGGCGTCTGCTAACTGAAATCCTACAACACAGGATAAAACAATATAGGCACCATGAATTTCAGTAAAAATAGATTTACAGTTCATTCAAAGTACTTACTCGTCTACATTCCTTATGTGTTCCAATCATATCCTCAACAAATTCAGCTACACGAGCTACAGTTTTCTGTCGGTCATCACGAGTCATTATAGCGGCCTCAGCTGCTGATTTGACTAGTGAAAACATATCACCACCTGCACGACAAGCGCATGCAGCTTGCCAAGCAATGTGTGGGACATAAAAGAATATACACTGTAAGCCAAGTACAAATGGAACCCATTGGTAATAAGCTAAGATAAATAAATAAGAAAAGAGGAGACATTATTGTGTGAAGAATACCCTGTAAAAATATAAATGATCATTGCACCAAAAATTTCTAATCTTAGCTAGTTCTTGACTGACAAGACTAGTAGAGGTATTTCCTTGCTTGTTGTATGAACTACATCATAGTCAACGACTGGGCTATGGACAGATCAATAGTCACATAAAATAAAGGCTAACTAACACATCTCATCAGGTTAATTTAAGTTACCTAAGTACGAGACTGACACCTTATTCGTTCACAAATTAACCCGAAATTGACGGCTTCAGGAAGACTCGCTTCATAAGGTTGATTCGCTCATTTCATATCACTCACTTGTTAGAAATTCCACTGAAAATTATATGTATAAAGTATGTAACGAGATAACGATATCATGGGTTCACCAAGGTCAACTTATTTGAAGAGACTAACTATCAGTTTACTTTGTCAGTCAGATATTGAGTATTAATTTCAGTGACTATACTGCTTCAGAATACTTTTAAATGACATTACTGGTGGCAGATTAGACATGTTATTCCATATGATTTCATTAGTTATTGACACTTCAGAGCGGTAAGCATAAAAACAGCATAGCAACAACGGGATGGTTTCCAACGACAGATCTGCTTGTATCAACACATGGTGGTTAAAAATCACTTACACGTGTAAAATAACCATTTTGAATGAAGGGGTGAAGAACAACTTATCATGTACATTATGTACATATGTGGTTTGGGTTAACAACTTTAAGCATAAGTTGAGTTACGCTTGAATTGTATGAAAATAAAGAATGGCCAGATCAAAATGTTTGACTAATTCATGCAATCGATTATAGCTAGCATGAGTTGTGCAGAGAGATGTAAGTAGGACACGTATGGAATTCGAGATGTCTTGAATAAACAATTGTAAATCCTGCAAGACATGGCAGAAAATTAACTACAGTCAGGTGAATGCATTTATACTTTAATATTTCCACGATGTGAATATTTTATTGGTTTGTTCGTATCTGGTTCTACCTTCCGTCAAATCCTTTTTGTTTTGCGGCATCTTGAACCGTTCCCTCTTTATCCTGCGCTAATTTTTATGTTTCTGTAACTCATATTCGGCAAAATGACCCAGAAATGAAACACTCTAGGAGTAGATAGCACAAATGTTTACTACTACCAACGAATACGCACTTCTTAAAAAAATACAATGAAAGGATATGCCATTAAAGCAGTGAGATAAGCAAAATCAAAGTAAAACCTCACACAGAAGTGAACTGACCCAAGTTTCTAGACTTCATAGCAGGATAAAAATGGTAGAAAAAGCGTGATATCAAAGTAAAAAGAAGTTTATCAGAGGAGAAAGAATTTGGAGAACGAAGGTAAATGAACGTACCTAAGTGTTTCGATGAGATCAAAGAATGAATACATCCATCCCATTGAGACCGATTTCTAACCAAGTTACTAAAAGTCTGCACTCACTCATTTCTCTTACTGCAGCGATTCTAGTCAGGCAATCTACACCTCACTAAATAACTCAGCTTGACGGTCAATGACCTCATGAACTATTGCGAAACCTTAGTCTGGTCAACCCCCACCTTCTTCCAACCCAATCCTACTTCAGCTAACATTCCATACTGAGGTTAATGTTGCTTTTGAACGCACAACACATGTTCAACCAACCTGAACCAACTTCATGTACCTACTCATCTGCATTGCCTAGTATTCTTCGTCTACGGTTGACATTGAGTACATAGTGATTACACCATACGTCAGCAATACTACAAAGAAATCTACGGTTTAAGACTTTATTCTTCGCATGTCTTCTACTTTCAGCAAACATATCTGTCAGTCGTATTACAGAACAGAGCAAGCTGCAGTGCAGCATACTTTCTTTTAATAGGTAGTCATGTATCTAGCAAGTACCACGAATGACATAAGCTGGTAAATACCGTTCAAACAGCCTAAGACGAATGAAAAGATTGAAAAAAGGAAAATTCATGGTTATCTTAATAGCATCAGTGTCTCACACAAATTCTTGGTCATTAACAACATGAGAAGAGATTCCTGACAACTGCTGAACTCAATGGATTTTGAGTTTCGTGGTGAGCATATAGTAGTCTAGTCAACGGCTTAAGACCTGTTTGTGTATATTTTTCAGTTGTAACCAAAATTTGATATGCTGTGGTAATGATCATGAAATTTCATATAAGTGGGGATCTACCTTCCATTTAGACAAGTCTGATCACAGAGATCACTACTTCGTCTAATGGATTCTCAAAATCCATCTATAGGTGGATCAATAGTCATGACCCGATTACAAGTTTTGAGGGAACAAGATCAAACTTGAAGTAGTTCTAATCAATCTGCAGTTGTATTGGTATTGTACTACTACCATTCAGCTTGATTAAACTAAATTCCGATCTAAAAGGTGAATATTGATATCTTGTCGAGTAGATTTAAAGATTTTACCCTCGTTCCCATATTTAAAATGAAACAACTGTCCATTGTTCACAAGTTTATGGTGACGCTATTATCGACATTAGTACATAATAAAAAATCTATAGCTTGAAAACGATACCAGGCGATGGTAACGAATAACACAGCCTGTTTCAGAAAGAAAATTAAACGCAACAATTGTAGTTATTCAATGTTAATTTTAAAGATTTGTAAAACGAAATTAATATTCATTATAAGCAAACGAAGAAGTAGGGCGAAATTCATTCTACCAACTTTCAGTAAACCTAAGTTTATAATTTATAGTTGGTAGCTGTTATCGTGAAGTAATCACTACTGAACATTTGGTAGCAGTGTGATACAATTTAAGTGTTCACCCTCGACCTAAAATCTCTCGAACTCAACCTCCTTGACTAGTGAGTTTGCAAAAATAAGAAATAGTCACTGATCAGTTGTGTCTAAAACTGAGAGTGTGATAAGAAATATGTTTCCCAAGTTCAACAGTGGAAGTAGGCACGTAACCTATAATGAGAAACTTCGAATTAGTCACAGAATTTACTGATCTCGTTCATTTGATATCCTCAAGCGAAACCGACATTGAAATAGATAGCTGAGATAACCTTGAACGCACATCTCAGTGATACAGTGGTTGCAATGTGGTTAATTATTCATCTCTGTATTAAGCGATAACTTTGACACAAAGAAAATAGGCTGTACTTATGAATAGTAATCGATCTCCCCAATCTACAACTGTAATAACTCGGAAGTTTTTTCTATCTGTTAGGTAAGGGTAAAAGGAAAATAACCATCTATCTTAGCATCTTCGACTTCTAGAGTCATTTTGAGTCCTGTCAAAGCTTAATTACCGTATATATTTACTGCAGCCAAAAGTGGCATTACATTTAAGGTGCCGGCAAGATGCTTCCAAAGTTTTCACTTCTTTTCATTTGAGTCGAGGTCGCCTCTTTATCCAAACTATTTTCATGATTTGATGGTAGATGGTCGGAAGTAGTCTGCGGGAGGCCCAACTTATCCTAGGCTTCCTTCTTGTTAACAGTTGCCAACAGAATATATCTACAACGTCGATAGAATTGATGTTACCTGAGAAATTTGAATCCGCGTCACCCAGAGTGTCAGTTAAAGCTCTTAGCGCTGAACCATCTGGGGTGCAGCAGGTTGTCAGAGTCTAAACAACCTCACTTCCTAAGTACCAGCTTGAATCATTTACTCCTACAGGAGGTCAGTTGTGACCTGAATAGTTCAGTGGTAACGTCTCCCACTGAGCCAGTGAGGGACGCGCAATCATATCTCTCATGTGATATCAGTTTCCTCAAGATTCCAGATACTCCCTACTGAAAACTACTAACAAGTACCAAACCTAGACCAAGCGAATTGCTTCCAGCTGTTTAACATCACAGTGCACTGCGATCCTGAGTCTCTTAGCCTGCTGACGACATTGCAAAAAGGATCGATAGGATTCGGTCATCACTTAGCAGTAGAAAACACCGAACCAGTTGCACTCCATTGACCAACCGGTGAATTTTTTTAGTTTGATGAAATCTCAGTTTTTTATATGAAGGAACCTTTTGAGTAATGACTATCAGAATTACTCACAATTTCGCTCTGTGATCACCTTCACTACATAACTTAATTCTTATGCAGTTGAGTAGATGATAAAATGAACATTCTTCAATTTCATACGAAGTGACACTTTTGCATTTAATTTGGTAGCTATGATCCAGTTTTGTGAAAAATTATTGTTTATGAACATGAATAGTCAAATTGAATAAATTTTGAAATGTATCAAAATGAGGTTAGTTAATTCTGTTTCGTTCAACTGGTTTCTGAATGGCATGTTCAAACAAACAAAATTATTAGAAACTGATCAAACAACTGTACTCAACCCATTATTTTGTTAATTTACACACTTGATTTCTATATGAATTGCGAAAAACAAAATTTAAAGTAAAGATTTGATTTGAGATGCAAAAATCACGAATTACTGTTGTTGAATGCAATGGTTTACAAGTTGATGTGAGTAGTCTCAGGCATTTAGTTTGTTTCTAAAAGCCATCTTATTTCTGCAATACTCAGAAACTCCAGAACAGGAATAAACAGTTGCTTAATATTCCAGGTTGTTTTATGAAGTTATCTGACTTATAACATTAGGATGAATAACTAGTAAATTAGTTCCAAGTTGAACAGTTCACGTTGATAACAAAAAACGTTCTGTCTCAATCAGGGTTATAAATGTTGTACAAGAATTTAACCAAAATAAGAAAATAACTTTGTACAGGAAATTTTCAACTGCTAACAGTTGTTTGACTTATAAATCGACTTGTTACCGAGTCTATGTTCAAATAACTCGTTTTTCTTTGACAGTATGCTAAAACAAAATAAACGAACATAGCTATGTACGCATATAACCTTCTGAACTTTCAGTATAGCAGAAGAAATTAGCTGTCAGAGATTGTTCTAAACTCTAATGACCAGTTTTAGTTAACTACATGCTTCTAACAGTTTCTCAAAGGTACCACTAACTTTATAT